CGGCCTCCCGAGAGCCCCCTGCGTGCCACGGCCGTGTGCCATCCTGCGGCTGGAGTCACCAGTGGGGGCCAAAACCGGCTCCTCATCCCCCGCCAGGTCTCGCACCAGCTGGCATGTCAGCTCTTGCCAAGCTTTGCTGGGCTGGCCTCAGCATCAGCAAGTCACCACGGGGAGCAGGGGCAGTGCCTGGTGGCAGGGTCCTGCCCGTGACAGGCACAAATCCTGCCGTGGCAGCTCCTCCGTGCTGCCAAGCTCCGCCAGGAAACCTGGGTGAAGTGAAGTCCCCCTCCCTGTACGGGGCTGGCCCATCCAGAGCCGGGCCAGTCCCAGTGGGCATCCCCTGCCATTGCCCAGTGACAGCCACTCTCACTTCCCCCTCCTGCTCTGCTCCGGGACAGCCCGTCCCCCCTGACTCACTCCCCACTGCCAGGCTCGCCGCGGCTCCTCCAGCCCCGGGGCACTTCTATCTCAGAGCTGTTTTATCTCAGCAGTGAAGCCCTGCGAGGTTCAGTGGACCTGGATGTGGGGGATTCAGGGCACTGGGGTGGGAGCAGGGCAAAAGCCAGCATCCCCTCTGCACAGATGCACCTGGAGCTGGCATGAAGCCACAGTGGGTGTGCAGCTGGGTGTGGCTCCGTGAGCCAGCCCTCTGCAAGGAACGGCAAAACCAAGTGCTCAGGGGGGCTTGGTGGGGCTGATGAGAAGGAGAATAAAGAGGGAGCAGCACAGGGCCAGGCTGTGCAGGGCTGGGAAAGACCTCTGCCACCACAGGAGCTGGCAGAGCAGGAATCCTTGGTTGTGGTGGTGCGTGCTCTGAGGGCCTCAAGAGTGCTGGCAGTGGCAGCTGAGCTCACCGTGCCATGTGCGAGCACGCTGGTGCTGCCATCCAGGGATGAGGGACACCTGGGGCCATGTGGCTGTGCTGGCACCAAGGACGTTCCTGGCATGGAGAAACCCTTCCATGTGAGACAGGCACCTTAGGCCATGTAGAGGAAGGCAGGCGGGGGCACAGGAACGACTAAAAGGAGCAAGGGACAGAGAGGTGTACCAGGACTGAGATCCAAAACAGGCTTTGATGGCTTAGGCAGGAGGTGACACCAAGCCAGCTGGTGATGCTGGGGCTGTGCTCTCTGGGCTATGGGTGACACTCACAGGTGGAAAACATGGATTTGTGATGAATCCTCCAGGATTTCAGTCCTGGAGCTGACCCTGTGGGTAGCAGCAGGGCTGCTCTGGTGCTACCTGCCCTTCAGTGCCTGCCCACGTGTGCTGAGAGGAGATGCAGAGCCCTGTGTGCCCCCACGTCCTGTCCCATGTGCCAGGGTGGCATCATGGCACAGCCCCGAGCTGCTCCCGGCATGGCAGTGCCAGGCTCCACACTAGAGCATCCCTGCCCTGGGAATGCTGTGCCAAGCAGCTGCACAGGCACCAAGAGCTCCACATCCCAGTTCTGGGGGGTTGATGACACATGGCAGCTCCTGGAAGAGAGCAAAAACCTCTTCCCAGCACTGGCATTACCCTGGGATGGGCAGAGCAGCCCAAAGAGCAGAGAGGAGCTGGGGCAGAGAATGCAGGAGGAAACCCATATTCCATCTCCCCCCTCACACCTTTGCCCCTGCTCCCAGCTTTCCCTACAGCGTTCCAGCAGCTTCAAGGATTTCAACAAGTGCAAGGTCAGCTCCCCCGTGTCAAATGAGGAGTTCAACCTGGAGGAGAATGTGAGTTCCCAGCACCCCTTGACACATCCTGCTCCCCTGGGAACAGCCCATTTCAGGGCTGGGATCCCGAAACTCCTGTTCTTACCAGTGGCCTACGTGTCATGGAGCAGCCCCAGGGTGCCAGCACGGGTGGGATTTGGGATCTCACAGTCCCCGTGTGAGGCTTGCCCAGGTGGGGGCTCTGCCCTCACTCTCCATCCCTCTGGCAGATCCCCGAGGACGATGCCAGCGGTGCCAGTGCCGAGGAGGGCGCGCGGAGCAGCGGCACCAAGCTGGGCAGGAAGTGGCGGGCGGTCATCTCCCGCACCATGAACCGCAAGATGGGCAGGATGGCTGTGAGAGCGCTGGCCGAGGGCAAGGTGAGCAGGGCCGTGGGGACACGGACAGGTGAGCAGGGGACAGCTCCCCCTCCCTCGGCCTGAGCCCGGTACCCCCAGCAGGGAGAGGCGGAGGCAGAGAGGCCATGCCCGCTGTCCCCAGCCAGCAGCGTGGAAGAGCAGAGCTATGACAAGGTGCCCTTGTCGTACCCGGAGCTGGAGGAGGAGGAGGATGGACGCCCAGCCCTCGGACGCCAGATGTCCAGCGGTGAGGCCAGCCCCGATGGGACACTCGTCCCACCTCCCCAGGTGGGCATGTCCTGCCTGACCCCTCCTCTCTGCAGGCAGCGACATTCCCAGCCCTGGCGATCCCAGGGACAGCCAGCAGCTGGAGGAGACCGTCCCAGCCTACACCGGCCCCTTCTGCGGCCGGGCCCGCGTCCACACCGACTTCACCCCCAGCCCCTATGACAAGGACTCCCTGAAGCTGCGGGTAAGCCACGGCCACTGTGGCCCTGGGGAGGGAGGGAGGGTGGCTGGGGACCTCCTGAGCTGGGGGTGTTCCCTGGCTGTCCCCAAGCCTGTGCCCCCCACCATCCAATGTCCCTTGGCCTAGAAAGGGGACATCATCAGCATCATCGAGAAGCCACCTGTGGGCACCTGGACCGGGCTGCTCCACAACAGGGTGGGCTCCTTCAAGTTCATCTACGTGGATGTGATCCCTGAGGAGACGGTCCCTGCCCGCAGGAGCCGCAGCTCCGGCCGGAACAAGCGCCTCAAGCCCAAGACCCTCCATGAGCTGCTGGAGCGCATCAACCTGCAGGTGAGGGCCAGGGGCTGCGGGGGACAGCAGCACCCAGCTGTCCAGGGACCCAGCACCCAGCAGCACCCAGGCACCAGCAGTGCGACCAACCCCTCTCCCCTTCACTATCCCCCACCTCGTGGCTCCTTCCACCAAGCCCCCAGGGGCACAGAGGGCACACGTGGGACATTTCTTGGTAGTGTGGGCCAAGTGCCCACCGTGGACCCACTGAGAGGGGAGCTGCAGGCCAGCACTGGGGGCCAGGAGGAGATGGGGGAGCCACCCACGCCCTGCTCACCCCTACCCACACCCCCCACCCAGGAACACACCCCCACCCTCCTGCTGAATGGGTACCAGACCCTGGAGGACTTCAAGGAGCTGCGGGAGACGCACCTGAACGAACTGCACATCACGGACCCCCAGCACCGCGCCAAGCTGCTGACGGCTGCCGAGCTCCTCCTGGACTACGACAGTAAGGGACTCCTCCTGGGGAGGGGTGGGGACCCTGACTGGGCACCCCAGCAGCACCACTGACACCACGGTCCCTTTCGCAGCAGCCAGTGAGCCAGAGGATGGTGACAGCACTGAGGCCCTGCCATCACCCTCAGAGCCCAAAGAGGACATTCCCCGGGACTCCGGCTGCTTCGAGGGATCAGAGACCCTGGATGGCAGCCGGGAGGAGGCCGAGCTGGGGGGTCCTGAGGAGCAGCTGGGGGGTCCTGAGGAGCAGCTGGGGGGTCTCTCCATGGCAGAATCCCCCTGAGCCCGCCAGCACCGCCACTTTCCACTCCGGCCCTAACAGGGGGGCTGGACTGGAGGGGAGGGCGGCTGGTGGGGGGCAGGGAAGCCCCAGTGGTGGCACCTCAGGGCCTGGCTTGGCCCCTGCACCAGAGCCAGATGCTGGGTGGGCACGAGGTGCCCCAGGACATTTTGCATGGCACTGCCTGGCACCACAGCCCCGAGGCAGGGACTCTGGGCATGCCGGGGCATTGCACTCCCCGCCAAGACACCGCAGGCATTGGCTGCTTTCCCCAGGTTTGCCAGCAGGCTCAGGAAGGGAGCTGGGGCTGGAAGCTGTGTGTGCAGGCAACTGAAGCCTGCCTAGGACACTGTCACTTCTCAGCATGGACACACAGAGACACCCCCCCCCTCATCTGCCATGGAGGACAGCAAGATGCAAATAACACAGCTAAGACACCCTGGAAGTGTGAGATGGAGAGTCCTGGAAATGCACAGGGAAGAAGGAAGAGGCAGCTGGCTTGGGGCAGCACAGAAACGCAGCGGCTACAGCTCAGCCATTTTCAAACCAATTAAGTTTCCTTCATTGTTTTAAAATTAAAAAAAAATAATAAGAAGAAAAAAAAATAAAGAACATCCAGCCCTCACCCAACCCCCTTCCTTCCTTCTGGAGACCCTGACCCGTGCAGGCAGGTCCCGGCAGGCAGAACTCCACACACCTCGTGGAACAGGGAGCAGCAAAGCCAAAATACACAATTTTCTGCACCGAATTGGAGTTTTGGTCAGCAGCGTGTTGGGGCGACTCCCACGGGGTGGGGCACAGAGCCCTGTCCTCGGAGGATGGAAGGGGACGGGGATGGGGCTGGGCTGGCTGGGGGCCGTGGCAGGGCAGCCGGGGCTCCTTCCCAGCCACATTCCAACCGGGAGCAGCTGTGGCAGCTCTGCCCTCCCACCCAGCAGAAGAGGCCCCGCACGGCGGGAGAGGGGGCAGTGCCGGGGCCACGCTCACACCACAGCCCTCACTGCCAGCCAGGACATCACGGACACACAGACGGGACTGGCCCGGCAGGACACCCCCCACAGCCACCACACACCTGCCGGGAGGAACTGAGTGCCCAGCACTGTGACAAGGGACACGGAGCTGCCAGGGCACAGAGGCACAGGGGCTGCAGGGATCCCAGAGGTGTGAGGGTCCTGCCAGTGCAGGACAGGGACTGTGGAGAGGGGGAGCCCTGCCACGGCACAGAGCTCTCCCACCATCTGCCCGGCCTCTCGTCCTCTGTTGAGGACACACAAGCCCAGCTCTGGGCAGCTGCTACAATCCTGGGAAGATCCCAGGCTCCCAAAGCCAGTCTAGGATGGCTGAGAACAGCAGAGCAAGGCAAGGGGGGAACATGGGGATGCAATGACACAACACAGATTGGGGCTGAGGTTGTGCAGAGCTGGGGAGGGCTCAGTGCAGACACCCAGGAACAAATGCAGCCCCAGCACCAGCCAGGAGCCAGTGGCACAGGCACGCAGGCAAACCCTTCCCTGCAGCTGCCCACCTTGGTTGCCTTCTCCCTCCCTCGAAGCCCAGGGTGGTGTGAGCACCAGGGCAGGATGGAAGGAGGGTCCCCTCATAGCTGCTGCCTTGTTACATCACACAGAAAGGAGCACAGGAAGACAGCTACCTACAAACCACTGCCAGCAGAACTCCTTCCCACTTGTTTGGGACCTTGGGGCACCAAAACGTCTCCTGACAAGCCTTGCCACGCCAACCACAAAACAACGCCACGGATTACAGGAAGGAGGGAGGAGGGGAGAGAGGACATTGCTGCCACGATTGCTTTCCCCTTTCTTGGGGATTCCTCAGCAGGAGGGCGCAGGCTGGCCCTGACAGCCTCACCCTGCCAGAGCTGGGCCCGGGCGGAGGGGCAGCCCCAGCCCTGAGCTGGGATGGAGCATCCAGGCCAGCCCACAGAGCCAGAGGCCCGGCCCCAGGCAGAGCTGGTGCTGGCTGTGCCCCACAGTGACCGGGGGTGCCACTGCCAAGGCCAGCGCTGCCCGCACCGCGGTGAGTGATGACTAAAGCAAAATGGCCATGGGGAATCAGGTGCCTGCCATCCAGCCCTTCTCCTCTCCTCCACCACATCCAGCTTTGATTAGACAAAACAACAAAGTTCTCCCTTCCAAGCAGATGCTAGTGCTGCGCTCGCCCAGCGTCCAGGGGGGGCACTGGGAGCTCCCCAGGCGTTCGCTGCTTCTCCTCTGGCATCTCGGTGTCACTCACAGACGGGACAGGGACCTGGAGAGAGAGCACAGAGTGACCTGCAGGGACACCCCAAGGCAGAGCCCAAGCACACAGGCCCCACCGCTCCGCTGCCACCTCCAGCTCCACCAGCAGCAGGCTCAGGTGGGCTTGGGAAAATGAGAAACCAAAATCAGGGGCCACCCAACAGGCAACATAGCAGCTTCAGGAAGAACTGGAGCACTGGACTGCTCCAGCAGAAGGTGTCTTGGACTGTGTCCACCAGGGAAGGGCAGCTCATGCCCAAGCAGGAGCAAGCCAAGGCATTTCCCACCATGTTAATGGAATAATTTAGGTGGGAAGGGCACTCTGGAGGTCTCCTGTCAAACTGTGTCCTTAATGCAGGATAATTTCAAACACACAGCAAACTGCTGGGGGCCACAACAGCTTTCTCCACGGATGGAGATCCCAGGGAGAGCCATGCAGCTCACACGCAGAACCACAACAAGATGTCTGCAACCTCTCAGCCCTCCCCAGCCCCACTGAGCTCCACAGGCAACAGCTCCTGAGTGCTCTCATTGCAGGACTGATCTCCAAAACAGCAGCCAGCTGTGATCTCCTTTTAGGAAATTCAAGGAAACCAAGACACTGGTTTCCAGGGTCAGAGCAAACAAGCTTTTCAGCAGCAGCCTCTCACATGGCCCTCCATGTAGTTTTGTCCTCCCTAAGTCACACTCTCAGCTTTCTTCCACTCTCCCAGAGTCCCCCCAGCTCCCAAGGGGATCACTCACAGCACTGGGGGGAAGAATGCTGCCATCCTGCTGCTTCGTGCCACCCTCCTGGGCCTGCCCAGGGCCCTGAGATGCCGGGGGCTCCTGCGTGCCGGGTGCCCGCGGGCACGACCCCTCCTGAGCTGTGCTCTCCTCCTGCTGCAGGATGCCCCGTCTGTCCAGGACACTGCAACAACACAGGCACGCCATCAGAGCCCCGCGTCTCCCCACATCCCACCTAACTTCCCAGCACAAGTGCTGCTGGAAGACAAAGGTCAAGGCCCCTCAGGAGCTCACCTGGGGGGCAGGGGCCCGCACAGCACCTCGCAGCAGTTCTTCACTATGTTGCCGTGGCTGTAGGGATTCTGCACACGGTTCTTCCCAGTCCAGGACCCCTTAATCTGAAATAGTTGGGCACAAACTCAGGTTTACTCCAAGGCCACTCTGCTCCAGCCCCCAGATCCCTGTGTTCTGCTCAGCCTTGACACACTGAGAAACACTGACAGCTCAGAGGAAGAGGAAGGCTCCACTTACGTCTTCGTTGGTTGTCTGATTCAGCGCCACCAGGAAGGTGTGGAACCCAGTTAACCCCACCACCGACCACAGCGTGAAGAAACAGATGAGCACCTCCAGTACAGTGAGAACAGTTAAGGACTGGGAACAACCTGAGAGCAGGCCCAGCCCACCTGTTACTGCCCCCACAAACATCAACTTCTCTTCCTCTCCTAGCCACTGTTTTCTGTTTTATTCTCCTCCCAAAAGCCAAGAAACTGCTCCCCACATTGTCATCCAGGGGAAAATGCTTGGAAAGACTCAGAGTGGCCTAAGCAGCCACTCCACAGTGCAGCTCCCACTAACCCCCAGTTGTAGAGAAGTCAAGCCCTTGGGACCATGAAAGGATATGTCCCTGGGGTTTCCTTCAACGTGTTCAGAAACCCAATCTTCAGAGATTCTGCAATACAGAAAGAGAGAGTTTTTTCACCTGGAACATCCCACTGAGTCCAGCTCCCTTTCCCACTCCCTATCTCTAGTTTCACACCACCATCTGCAGCCCCACTCCCTCCCTCCCTCCCTGCTCTCCGTGCAGACTCACTCAGTGCTACGTAGACGATGTTGAAGGTGAAGATGTAGATGGTGAGGAGGGAGAGCGAGAGGATGAAGAGGTAGAAGTAGCGGTAGTTCCTCTTTCCCACGCAGTTGCCCACCCAAGGACAGTGATGGTCAAAGCGCTCTGGGGAAGCCAAGATGAAAATTAGCCCTGCCCTGGCATGGGCCTGCCCATGTCTAGATCCTTGCCCCTGGGCTCCCACTTCAAAAGTCCCCCAGGCTGACAAAAACTGCCAAGTTCAGCCATCTGCTCAGTCAGGACCCCATATCCTGGCCTCCTTTCAGGAGGTCAAAAACTCCAAAATTGTTTTATAATGAGTCATTTTGCACATTAAGAGAGAATTTGACCCGCCATGTATCTTCTCTCCCTGGAGTACAACAGCCATAGCACATGGGTTAGATGAAGGCCTGGGAGTCCCCATGTTCTTACCCTGGAATAATCAGGAGAAGGTTCAAGAAACTGCATAAACACACAAAGGCTGGGAATCTGAACATGGAGAAGGAAAGGGGTCCAAAAGGACAGGATTTCTGCCTGGAGCAGTGATGCTGAACATGAGCCAGTTAACATACACAGAAGGAAGACAACAACCAGGGCACCCCAGGGAATGGCACAATCTCTGTGCTGATGAAGGAGCTGCTGTCACCTGAGACACAACTCTCCACTGGAACCCTCCAGTCCTGCAAGGCCAGACTCCAGTGGGATTCAACAATGGGCTGCACATGTACACAGAGCAGCTGGACTCAGTTATTGCCAAAGTCCTGGCAAAGAGGAAGCACCTGGCTCCAGGTTCTGAGCAAACCTCAAGCTCCTCGAGCACAAGACGAGGCAGCATGGACACTGCACCAGCCCAGAGTTGCCCAGCAGGAGCCTGGGCGCTGGCCTGTCCCTGTGCCAAGGCTCTGTGCAAGGAGCAGGGCCAGGCCAGCAGCACTCACCCACGCAGTTGTCGCAGATGCTGCAGTGCGAGGCGCGGGGCGGCCGGAAGATCTTACACGTGTAGCAGTACTTGAGCTTCACAATCTGATTGTTGATCTGGAAGTTCTTGATGCGCGGGGGCGGGCGCTGACCCTGCGGCACGGTCCCGTTGGTGGCCTCTGCCAGAGAGAACCGGGCACAGGTTGGCCCTGCTGCTACAACATGATGGCCTCAAACAACAACTCGCCTCCCTGCCTTCCCTACCAGTGGGATCGGAGCCCGCTGGCTCCAGAGCCGGAGGCTGCAGCTCTGCTCAGCCTTTCAGAGCCAACCTGGCAGCTTGGAGGCAGGAAAAGGGATGCCAGAGCTTTCATGGGCATGTTGAGAGTGGGCTGGGTGTTATCACCTGCATCCACCAAACCTCCTCCCTCCCTAAAGGATCAAAGGGACCATTCCAGGCTTTCTGCACCCCTTCTCAAAAGCAAACGGAGTTTGTATGTACATGGCTACGGAAGAGAAAGCAGCAGGTGAAACAGCTCCCAGAGAGGGACGCAGATACATTGTGCTGCTTTCTTGAAACTTGGCCAAGTAAGGTGAGCCAGGAGATTGGGGCAATCCTCACTTTTGGAGGTCCAGCCAGGAAGATAAGCTCTTGCAGGGACTGTAACCTAGAAATATGCCATAAATAGGGAGGCTTCTCCAGCCCTCACCAGCTTGGCCACTCCACACTCACCAATCTCCATCTCAATGAAGGCTGCCTCATCGGGCAGGGCCCTGGGGATCACGCCAGGGTCGCTGAAGCTCGTCCGCAGCAGCGTGGCCATGGAGAACAGGAAGAGCACTGCTGCAAACACGGGGATGGCCGGGGACAGCTGCACCGCCAGGTAGCGGCACCTGCGGACACGGGGCAGGAGACGATGAGTCACAGTCCCCTCACCTGGCACAGCCTCAGAGCCCGGGCACGCCGCAGCACTGCTCAGATCTGGAGCAGAGAAGCTGCTCAGCACATCCTTCTGATCCCACCACCACAGGGGGACACTCCTGGGGCAGCTCCAACAACCAGGCACCATCACAGCATCCCCATGTTTTCCACCAGCTAGGCACAGATATTTCCCAACATTTGTTCTGTTTTCAGCTCCCATTTTAAGCAATGCCAGAAACACAACCAGGCAGCCATTACATTCCTGCTGCCAAGGGATGGGCCAGACCATTGGGAGAAGCACCCAAGGCCTGGTCAGGGACCCCCTACCTGGAGAGCTGGAAGGCATGGAAGCCTGTGGGGATAGTGGGAATCTCTGGCTAACCCCTAAAGAGCAGGAGCTTCCCATATCACAGAAATTATTGGGATTAAGTAGATCCTGAACTTAGGAATGGATTCCT